CAAAAAGAAATAGCAATTAAAAAAACAGGAGGATGGTTGAAAGGAGCTGTGGGACAACAGGAAATGTAACAATATTCGCATCATAGGAGTGCCAGAGGAGGTCAAAAGTAAGCAAGGGTTAGAGAACCTGTTTGAAGAAATAATGGCAGAAAACTTCCCTAACCTGGTGCAAGAAACAGTCACACAAGTTCAGGAAGCACAGAGAGTCCCAAGCAAGAACCCAAAGAGGCCCATGCTCAGACACGTCACAATTAAAATGCCAAAAATCCAAGACAAAGAGAGAATCTTAAAGGCATCAAGAGAAAAGCAATCTGTTACCTATAAAGGAGCTCCCATAAGGCTGTCAGCTGATTTCCCATCAGAAACTCTACAGGCCAGAAGGGAATGGCATGAATTATTCAAGGTGATGCAAAACAAGGATCTGAAACTAAGACTACTCTACCCAGCAAGGCTATCATTCAAAACAGATGATGAAATAAAGAGCTTTCCAGAAAAAGAAAGGCTAAGCGAGTTTATCACCACCAAACGAGTATTGCAAGAAATTTTAAAGGGCCTGCTGTAATAAGAAGTTGAAATAGAGAGAATGAGAAACATAGGAATAAAGAAATAAAATAACAATAGATAAGTACTTACCCATAATAACCTTAAATACAAATGGGTTAAATGCCCCAATCAAAGGACATAGGGTAGCAGAATGGATAAGAAAACAAGCCCCAAATATATGCTGTCTACAAGAGACCCACCTCAGAACAAAAGATTCACACAGGCTGGGGGGAAAAAAACAACTTCTGGAGGACTTTAAAGGAGAGATCGACAGCAATACAGTCACAGTAGGGGACTTTAACACCCCACTGACTTTGCTGGATGGATATTCCAGACAAAAAATCAACAAGGAAACAGTGACTCTAAATGACACAGTAGATTAGATGGATTTAATTGACATTTACAGAACATTTCACCCAAAAGCTGCAGAATATACATTCTCCTCAAATGCACATGGAACATTCTCAAAGACAGATCACATGTTGGGACCCAAAACAAGTCTCTACAAGTTCAAGAAGATTGAAATCATATCAATCATCTTCTTGGACATTTACACAATGGAATACTAGAAAACGATGCAGCTGTAAAAACAAAGGGTCCCTTACCCTTTGGGGCAGCATGGAAGGACCTAGAGAATATTATGCTAAGTGAAATAAACCAGTCATAGAAAGACAAGTGTCACATGATCTTATTTATATGTGGAATCTAATGAACAAAATAAACTAATGAACAAAATAGATCCAGAGACATAGAAGCATGGGACAGAGTGACGAATTTCAGAGGGAAGGCAGGTGTGGGTGGACATGTGGGGAGAGATTGACCTAAGAACTTATATGCATATATCCATAACCCATGGACACAGACAGTGTGGTGAAGGCCTGGGGGGAGGGGCACAGGGAAGGGGACCAATGGGGGAGAAAAGGGAATATTTGCAATACTTTCAACAATAAAGATAATTTTTTTTAAAAAATTAGACAAGCCTTAAGAGGGTTTTGTGTAAAGAAGATCCCAGAAAACTGATGATGCTGGAGTGACATTCATTAGTAGATGAGAGGGGTGTGACCCAGTGAACAACCGAGAGCTCCTCATTAGAGGTAATTGCTCAACAGTGGCCAGGATACATGAAAGCAGCACAGGTCAGCGAGTGCAAATCATCCCAGATTCTTTGGAAACGTTTAGCAGCACATATCAAGAGCCTTGAAAAATGTCATACCCTTTGCCCCATTAATTCCACTTCTGAAAATCTCTCCTAAGGAAATAATTCCAAATACAGAAAAAGTTCTTTGTATAGAAGCTTATCACAGAAATTATGTAATAGGTCTAGAAACATTTAAGTATGCCACAATAGATGATGATGAAAGACATAGGGTGGATCTAGTCGCACTGGACTATAAGCTCCATGAGGACAAGGACAGTGTTTGTTTTGTCTATCACTGTCTCACCAGCCCCTACTATGTGTCTGACATATTTGTTAAATGAATGAATAAAAATTTTTATAAGATTAAGCAAAAAAGATATAAAATAATCCTTAAATATTATATCTAACTATACATACACTCACAGTATGATTTCAACCACGTTTTTTAAAAGTAATAAAGTAACACTAGATAAATAAAAACTAAATAAATGACTCCGCCGAATGTAAATAATGATTATCTTTGTGTAGTGGAACATGATTTCCTCTTTCTTTTCATTTTTGTATAGTTTGCATATTTTCAAGATAGAATACGATTTGTTTTACAATGGAAAAAAACAAGTCAAGGTCATTTCTTGAAAAAGGAAGGGCTAGAGTTAGACAAGAGTTAAGCACGCACCATCAGGATTTGGTAAGGCTTTGCACTGGCTGATGGTTCCCAGGCACTTTTGTGGGTGTGAGTCTCCAATTCCAGCCACGGTGTTCTTCTGAAGATGACCTCCTCTCACTACCAGTAGGGACAGGCCCTTACCTAGGCCAGTGAAGTCTCCTCTGGGAGCTTAGAGAGACTCTGTTCAGGGGAATCAGCTTTCACTACAGCATTTTCTAAACTCTTAATCAGCTGTCAAAAATAATATCCAACAGGACAAAAAACTTGATGACACAGTTTTAAGTGAAATGGAGCAGAATACAGACAGCATGTTCATAAGAATATAATTATGCAAACTGTTCGTTTGGCAAATATTTATTTAAGGAACAAAAAGGCTTCAGAAGAAATATGTTCACATACAGCCAGAGAAGAGACAAACAACTAAAACTGAATCCACCTTTTCATCACTACCATTTTAAAGCCATATCTCCAGAACTACACTTCCTAAAGGCCTACCCAAACTGCCACAGGTGTCTTCAGGTGCTCACTGAGTGGCTCCAAGCTCGAGGACAATGTTTTTTAGAGTAGAGCTTCTCAAACTTGAATGTGTGCACCACTAACTTGGAGATATTGATAAAATGCAGATTCTGATTCAAAAGGTCTGGGGTAGGAACAGAGATTCTCCATGTCTAATAAGCTCCAGGTGATGTTGAGGCTGCTGGTCTTCTGGAGACACTTTGAGCGGCAAGTTCCCAAGATGCTAGGTAACCAGGCATTCCAAGGATCATTAGGAACCAGGAACAGGAAGGAGACGGCCATCCAGGCAGGCCACGTCCACTGAAGCAAGGTGAAGAAAGCACAGAAGACACTTAATGAGGCCTCCATCCATTACCTCAGCTCCTAATACCCAGCACCTTCACCAGATGCAGAACCTGGTCCCCCAGTCTTCAAGAATGCTGATCCCCAATGCACCCTTGTCCTCAAGCATCTTGACACCACTGAGAGTAGTGAGGTGAAGCAAACTCCAGGCAATTCATGGGATATGGAGGGGCCTGAGGCCTCCAATTCCTTAAGGAGCTTGATCAATGACATCTTTCTGGGATGGATCCCAAGGCCTGAGCTTTGCTGGCAGGTAGTTGCCTGGAGCAGCCAGCAGCAGATGGCACCAGAGGACAAGCACAAGCTACATCCAAGAAAGTGGCTCAACAATATATCCAAAACCAGGATAAAGTTGAACAAAGGAACAAAATGGGAGATGTGACCAAAACCTGAGGCAAAACAAACAGCCCAGGGAAGAGAGCTGATGACTCAAAGAGCACTCGTCTTGGGTGTCAGCTGCACAGGTTCTTGGTTAAGGGCAGGCCAGAAAGACAGTCAGCTATAGCTATTCAATCTCCTGCTGCCTGGCCCTTTGCCAGATCCCATGTGTAGAGCCAGCCCTAGGAACCTCACAGTGAGGCCCCTCAAGAGCTCTGGGTCCAGTCACTATCTACTCTGCTGGAGGGCAGATGGGTCTGGACAGGCAGAGCCAGGCCTGGCCACCCCATCCAAAATGATCTGACCACTAAGTAATGTTGATGTTTCCTTTCCTGAAAGGAGAAGCTGGCTGGTCCACACACAGATGAAGCCTTGGACCTGGCTCAGCATCCAGAAGACTGCTCCATGACCTCCATAGTGAGATATTCATGCTCACTGTAACCCTTTCTCCATTTTCCCCGGCTGGCTAGAGGAAGGGGGACCCCCTACTCCTTTCAGCCAGTACTCCATTAAGCCAGACTCCAAGACTTCCTGCCCCTCCCACTACTGAAGGTCACTGGGAGGCCCAAAGATGTGAGGAAGCTTTGGAAGAATCATGACACATCACCTAAAGCACATCAGCTCAGTGGCCAGAGTGTGGAACAAAGGAGGCTGGAGTCACGGCCTTGAGTACAGTAAGCCTCAGCAGTGGCTCAACCCTGGAGAGGGTCACAGAGTCCCTGGATGGCTGTCTTGTCAAGAGAGGTCCTGGGAGGCAAGGAAGAGCAGATGATAGGATGTGGCTGCAGGAGCCTGAGCCCTTCTCATGCCACAGCGTGACACAGGGAACCAGTCCTCAGCCAGGCAGCCACCTTTTCCATCAGCCGACCATGCCAAGCCTCCTGGTGCTCTCTCCCTGTGCCAGGACCTATCCAAGGCATGGAGGATACGAGCTCTATGACAATACAGATGTCACCCTCAAGGTCCTCACTATCTTATCATGGAGAGATACTTACAGGCTTATTTCCATACAAGATGGCACATGCAGTGAAAGAACAAAAGGATGGAGTAGTGTGTGAATCATGGAATTCCTGCTGCTCAGGGCTGATTTTCCTACTGCAAAGGAGTGTGAGGACCCAAGGCTTCCAGGATTGGTTCTCTGCTATTGGGATTGCTAATCAGATAACAGTAATTCCACTGTCTTGCCTCCATAGAATTCTTTATCATTTACAAAGCCTATCCACAAACATCATCTCTCACAGAGGTTAGGAGCTGACCAAGGTCCAGAGCTGTGACTCAGTGTGCTCCTTCCCTCACCCCACAGTGACCTTGCAGTCTCATTGGTAGAGGTGAAAACCCTGGGTTCCCAGACTAGGCATCTGTTGCTGAGCTACCAAAATGAACCCTGCCTGCTACTTGCAAACCATCTCTGGCTCTGGCATCTGCTCAAGCTGTAAGGCATGCTGTGACCTAAAGAATCTAGACTCAGAAGTCCCCCATGAACAAACAGCTGAACCACCTGAATGTCAGGCTTCACAGGCAAATAGATGCAAAACTGGACTCTTACCAACCTACCTGGGCCCAGAAAGCCAGGATTGATGGAGTACCACCCTCAGCTTACAGCATGCCCACTTAGCTAAGTGAAGAAGCCTGACAATGAACATGGCAGGGAGAAGCTCTGGACCTGGCTAAATGGGGTTGGACCTGCCACTGAGCCTCAGAGACCCTTTGGAGACTTCTGTGTGTACTGTGGACAGGGGCAGATGCTCAAACTCCTCCACAGGGGTGCTCTGCTGACAAGTCAGCACCAGGGCCTTGACCTCCTTCTTGAAGTTGGTGTTGAGAAAGCCATAGATGAAAGGGTTGACACAGGTGGAGGCCATGGCGAGCAGGTGGCACACCAAGAAGATGAGGTTGCCATGACAAATGGGAATGGCCTCATGGTACCAGTCTTCCAGACTGTTGAACACATGCAGGGGCAGCCAGAGCAGGGCAAAGGCAGCCACCATTGCAACAAGGATCCCGTTGATCCGCTTTATCTGCCAAGCCTGCGAGCTATAGGAGCCCTTGCGGAACACCCTTCTCTGCTTCCTTAGGCGCTGGTAGATGCGCACATAGCAGACCAGGATGAAGGCCAGTGGGATGCAGTACTGGAAGAGCAGCAGGAAGGTGGTATAGATGATGCGGTGGTGGTACAGTGGCCAGGACTCAGTACAGACCACCTTATCTGCCAGAAATTCCAGAGCCTTGGAATGGTTCTTGTGAAAAACATCCTCCAGGACGCTGTTGGCCAGGAAAGGCAGGGAGAGGAAGCAGGCAGTGAGCCAGATGACCACAATCCCCAGGTAGGCCTGAGAGACACTGGGCTTCCAGCCTGTTGGGTTGATGATGAGCTGATGCCTCTCTAGGGCCACAAGGACAAGCGAGAGGATGGAGACTGTCACTGACATACATTGGATGAAGGCTGACATCTTGCAAAGGGCCTCGCCAAAGACCCAGTAGTCCATGATGGTATAGATGGCCGTGAGCGGCTGGCAGATGAGGCACATGAGGAAGTCGGAGAAGGCAAGGTTGGCGATGAGCAGGTTGGTCACATTGGCCTTCTCCTTCTGCCTAATGGTCACACATATAAGGCAGAGATTGCCCAGGACCCCCACAATAGTCTCGATGCTATAGGAGGTGACAATAAAGACCATCAGGTCTAGAGAATCCTGGCAGTGGTCAGAGAAGTTATACAGGATGCCCTTTGACTTACTCCTGTTTTGACCCTGCAGGGATCCTGGGAGCAGCAAGGATGGAAAATGAGAGATGTTCATGGTGCATGTGAGAAGATTCCAGGAGGTTCAGTGACGACACCTGCAAAGCAAAGGCAAAGAGGCAAATAGTACTCAAGGATTGTGCTTCCTGTGTGAAGTCCAGGGAGCAGAGGGGTGCAGGTAGAGATGTTCATGGCTGCTTGGACCCGAACGCTGGGACTTAGAGGACCCATAGTCACACAGCTAGTAAGTTAGAGGGCCCAAATTCAAACCCAGATCTGTCTGATGCCAAAACTTGTTCCAGAAATTGTCCTGACCTCAGGCCTTGAGGCAGTTTTGATAATAAAAAATATTTGGATTGTTGTATGCAAAGTTCAGGGAGAGAACAGCTCAGGGAGCATGAGTAGAAATCTTGTCACATTTTATCTAAATAGAAACAACACCAATGCCACCATGTGCTAAGGTCCTTCCACGGCATGTCATGCCCTTTAGGACAGATCTAAACCTCGGGCCTTGACACACAGTGCGATCTTGGCCTCAGCCACTACCTGCCCTGCCAGCCTTGTTTCTGAGATGACACATGGCAAAGTTGAAGGCTGCCAGGTATGCAGAAACTGGGTCATCAGCACACCGGCTCTCTCTTCCCACCCACCATGTGTACACACATGTCTGGCCAAAGTCATGGGACACCCACCACTCTTCCTAGGGGTTCCCTGCATGCCTATGCTCAAGTCACCTGAAACAGCTTATGGTTCCCAAATACAGCTTCCTGGCCCACACCTCCATGCCCTGGTATACCTCTCCTTTTTCCTCTGGTGCCTCCTCTGCCAAGGATAAACTGGAATTTGGACTCCAGAGCCTCCAGGTGGTGATGCCAGCGACAGATGTTCTGAGATGGAAAGCCACCATATCATTACACACACCATTGTGACTCACCTTCCTCACAAGTCCCCTCATCACCATTAAGCCCACAAGCAGTTCTCAAACTTCAGGGAACATTAGATCACTCTGGGAGCATGTTGAACATATAGACTCCAGAGCCCCCTACCAGGAGATGCAGTTAAGTGAGTCTGGAATGAGGCACAGGAATCTGTATTTTAACAAGTGACCCATGTGATTCTGACACACATGGTCCTGGGACGCAATTTGATAAACCTGTTCATAGAGGAATACTCTCAGATATTCTTTAAGTCCCATACAATGGTCACATCTGTTCTTCATGATCAAGTACTAAGTTAGAGCAGTTATTTCAGAGTATGGGCAAAATTAACTAGAGGTCAGTAAAATCTATTTGTCAGCCATCAGAAATGTCACCGTGCATTTGGTCTGGCTTATAAAGATGAGTCCCATTTGGCCAGTACAAGGTCAAGGAATGAAGTCCACTGACTATTTACAGTCTGCTTATTTTGGTCACCAGGTCTCATAGGTAAGAAGATTTTTCTAGCACCACAGTCATCTGGCAAAAGGGGCCATTTGGAACTGGATGTGACAAAAGGAAATATACCAGGGCCAAATGTGAGGTCCAGTGTTGAAGCCAAAAAACAGCACAGCTGCCTGAAACCGTGGTGGAGGCACTGTGCTCAGTCCCAGCAGCAAGTGGGACAAAAGCCCAAGGTCCGGCTGGCCATCAGCCCCAGCTGGGTCAGTGGTGGGGAGCCACACCAAGAGCTCCGACCTGGCCAGGCGCAGCAGGATCGGAGAGGAGTTACCAGGCGGGGAGGAATCCAGAAAGTTCCCCGCTGCATCCACTCATCCTCTCAGTAAACCCCTGCCAAGCCCCCTGCTACAAACAGGGCTGCAAAGATGACACAGGGGGCCCGGTGTCCCCCAGCCCCCAAGCCAGAGGAACTGAGCGCAGCAATGCAGATGCACCCCTAAGACACTGCCGTCACCAGAGCCAGTATGAACGCAATCTGGGAGCTCTGGATTTAGTGCAGCCCTGGGGAGGCCTCCACCGCGCCTGCCGCCCGCCCTCCCGTGTCAGAGGCAAACTAACAGACGGTGCGAACACGACCAACCCCCGTCAGGGGAGACGGGAGAGCCGGACGCCTGCTCTGTTCTCTGAAATCGCAGCAAAGAGCCCCGTCCCCTTCTGCCCGCGGTGCCCAGACACTTCCCACGCATCCCTTACCTCCTCTCCTCCGGCTCACTGGGTGGAGCAGCGTGCCACCCACGTCTCAGGTAGGACACGGGCTGCGGGAGCCCAAGTCCACGCGAGGGACGGGGCGCTCCTCCCAGCCCAGGCCCTCTGCAGCCCGCGCGGCGCCCCCTCTCCAGGCGCGGGGGGCCTTCCTCGCAGGCTCCTGCAGCCCCGGCCCAAGCCCTGCGCCCGG